TCACAGCATTTTGCTGTGAAGTTTCAAGTGTAAAATGTTGGTCTCACGGGTCTCACGAAAACAGGCTGGTCTCACATGATCCCAAGTCTATATATATATATATATATATATATATATATATATATATGCACACATATAGTAATTCTTTGTAATTTATATATATTATAAATAATGTATAATATATATTTATATCTATATTATATTATAAAACATTTAAGGAAAAGTCGTAAAAACAACATATGAAGCATTGATTGTAATGCATAATCTTTTAAATTTCATGTTTACAAGTAATTACCTCATACATACAAATTTTTAAAGCTTTTTGACCTCCATATAACTAAGTAATAACCAATATGATAACGTGTTCGATTTCCAAGATGATCATTGAGACCTATGAATACGACATAATACTTCATCATTATCTCTATCAATCATCAAAAAACAATTACATATTTATTTATAAATCAAACTATGTAAATTATAATAAATTTTGTATTAAACAAGTTCTAACAAAAAAGCAGAATTTTATAATCTTTGATTTGACACCAATATCAATGTATTTAGGGTCTTTGAATTAGCAAACATGTTCAACCATTATTTGTAATTTTTATTTTATCTTAACATGTATCTCATATTTTTATTTTTAATGAGACAGTATTAATTTTCTATAATCGTTTTACAAATAATTTTCATCCCGTTGTATCACATGGGTACTCGATTAGTATATATATATATATATATATATATAACATATAATATATATACTTCAGACGAGGGTGGTTTAGTAATTTAGCCATTTAGAAGCCAAATGAAACTAAACCAAACCAAATGAACCCAATATTTCCTATTCGAAAGTAGGTCTAACCAGGGGTAGGATGTACTTAGAGAAACCTCAACCACGAAGATCGAAAGGTTGGTCCAGTAACGACCCTCGACTTGTGCAAGACAAAAAGGTGTGTGCACAGGTAATTGGTAAAATAACACGTAGAATAATGATTTAATTGTGTATGCACAATTCAATGGTGTGCAAGCAAAGTAAAACATGTAATACAAGTAGAACTAATGTACATGATAACTTAAATCAGTATGATGACTAGTAAGAAAATCAAGCAAGAAAGTCATGTTAGGTCTATCACGACCAACTACCCCACATACCCCAAACAAGAAGCTATTTACCAACTACCCCACACCTTCTACTATATCCTATTGAAAACTGACCCCTTTAATTATATGCTTCTAAGAACTTCTATGAGAGGTCATGTCCTCGGAAATACCTAAAGCTACCATGTCCAATCTCAACTGTTCATCCCACGTTCTTCTAGTCCCACCCCTCCTCATCCCCTCTACAATTACTCTCTTCACTCTCCTCACAAGTGTTGTCAACTGTCTCCTTTGGACATGCTCAAACCACCTCAATCCACCCTCTCTCAATTTACCTGTAATAGGTTCAACACCTAGTCCTGATCGAAAAACTTCGTTCGTGATTCTATCTAGCATGGTCTAGTCACACAACCATTTCAACATTTCCATCCTTGTGTCTTCCAGTTTTCTTCATTTGCGAGTAAGTGTTTCCATAATCTTCTTATGTTTGAAGAAATGATTCATTGAAATAATGAGTCACTGTTGATATCGACACATATGACAAAAGTGAAAACCCCCTTGGCCTTCACCTCTCTCTTAGCTTCTGCTACGAGTTTAATATCCTCAGTGTATGGAACACTATCCTTGAATCTATGCTGTTATATCGGTCAGAATACGAAATATCGCTGAGGACCGATATTCGATATATCGGTTATATCGGTGATATATCAGTGATATATCGGAAATATCGGTTAACATAATATTTCTTAGAATTATATATATATAATATGCATTAATTAGAGTTTAGAAATATAGTTTCAAAATTAAAACATCACATCATCTAAAGTGT